CAGTTGTTGGGCGTCTTACCCATTTCTTCCATGCCTATTTCGGGCGTCCACATCAGAAGGGAAGAAGGCATTTGCAGGTACAGTCGGCCCAGGTTAGTAGGGTACCCTTGTGTCCTGTGTCTCGCGACCCATGCTTCCTACATGCCTGTGGCAATGTGGCCCCCCGAAGGGTCTTGTATTATGATGTTCCAGCCTACCTTAGCCTTGGTCACCAGAACGAATTTCGAGCGCCAGAAAAGTACCCAACAACTCAAGGGTTTTCACGTGTCGGGCCCTGGGAGACACTCGTCCGACATTGTGTCGACACTCTTTCGACACTTCTCCATCTCTGGGATGTGGTCCTGAACGTACGATGAGAGCGACATGAGTCTTGTGTCCTCTCGCGTGTCCTGTCCAAACGAGTCCGACTGCATAGTCTCAGGAGGGAAAGAAACACACAGACACAATTAATCGTCGATTCCTGAGAAAATATTGGGAAATCTGGGAAGTGGAGGGGAAGACAAAGACCCCAAACATGTGGGAAAATATGGGGACTATTTTTACTTGTGTGTATTTATTTGTGTGTCCCAGGGCCCCTTCATGTTCAAGACGCTGCGACGAGGAGCAGCTTCTGGGTTTCGGAAGGGGCTCGGTGCTCCTTCCGAGTCTTCTTCCACGTCTTGGCCCTCCTCGTTCACGGCCGGCGCTCGGGAGGCCGAGGAGGAGCCTCGCTCCTCGCCGGGCGTCTGGTCCGGGGTCGGCCGTGGAGCCTCCAAGGGCTCCCACGAGGGCGCGAAGTTCTTCGCGCTGTGCGGTCCTCGTTCCTTCTCCCCCTCCTCCTCGTCCTCCTTTTCTCCCTTTGGGGGGGCGGCGCGAGAGCGCGAAGTTGGGAGCCCTAGAGCCTCAGACAGAACCCCAGACATGATCGCGTCGTAAAACATCAGGACGCGAGGTTTTTGGCTATTTTCAAGCCCGGGGGGCCCTCGCCGGGCCTCGGGTGCAAAAAATGACTCAGGACGAAAAGCCGGTCCCGGGGAAAGGGTCGGGACTTCCAGGGGCGCCGTCCTGCAAAGATCAGGACGTCGCACGTCTGGGGAGCCCCCTCTGCGGGCAAGATGTGCATCCGTATCCACTGCGCCGTGGAGGTCCGGGTGCCTTTCCTCAGCCACGCGCGGAGGGGGCTGGGGGGAGGGGGGGGAGGGCTTCTTATAAGCACGCCTGCTTCTTAGAAGGCGCGGGCCTTCTCTATAGATGCAAGGCCGGCGCCTTCTGAGAAGCAGCCTCCTTCCAAGAAGCCCTCCCCCCTCCCACCACCCCCTTGTCTTGGCCTCGCTCGGACGTGTGCACTTTTTATCTCGGCGAGAGCCATCGGGGACCGTCCTGGACCATCGGGCGGAAAAAACACGCACGAGACCGACACATGCACGGGACAAAATGGACGTCCGAGCGACGGCAGGCTGTGCGCAGTCCGCCGCCTGCCCCAAGAGGCCCGGGGCGCAGGGGGCACGGGCAGAGGCCTGGCGCCCGCAGAGGCCGGCGCTCGAGCCACGGCCACCGGGCCACGGCCCCGTGGCCCCCCTGTTCGCAGGAGGGGAAAAAACACGCAGACACGATCAGTGGTCGACTCCCATGTGGGAAGGTATGGAACGTGGGGGGGGAGAGGGACATCCAAAAGATAAGGGAAGATGTGGGGAATCCTGTTTTGTTTGCGCGTCTTTGTTTGTGTGTCCGTGGGGCCCTTGACATTCACAGGAGGGCCCCAGACGCAGCGGATGTGGACAGACGTGTCGCCCGCAGGTCGCGCTGGTGCCCAGGGCCCCGCCTCGTGACCAGAAGTAGGGGAGCGAAAAAATGCATAAACCTGAAAACTCGGAGGTCCGCGCGGATTTCTCGGATCGGCGCTGGTCGTCAGTCTTCGTCCCCCTGATATCTAAGCCTCCTAGATGGGGTCGGAGCAGACGGGGTCGGAGGATCACGTTGCATCGCCGATGCATCGCCAATGCGGCTCGATGTGGAGCCCGATTTGCTTCACGTCGACGTCGCCGATTCATCGCCCACGTCGCCGGTGGATCGCTGGTGCATCGCCAATGCATCGCCGATACATCGCCGATGCATCGCCGGTGTATCAGCGATGCGGCGCGATCTTCCGACCCCATCTGCTCCGACCCCATCTAGGAGGCCTCTATAAGAAGCCCAGGTCCACCTCGCGTCGAGAGAGGAGCACGACGGGGCGTCTTCGCTCTGCTGCGGCCTCCGGGGGCCCTCGCCGGGCCCCAGGGGACCGCCAAGGAACGGCTCGGGATGCAGAGCCGGATCCCCTGGGAAGGGGTCGAGGCCTCCGGGGTCTGGGTCGACGCCGACAAAATTGGGGGCGGCCAAGAGGGTTATGATGTTCCAACCTACTTGAGCCGCGATCACCAGAAATAATCTCGAGCACCAGCAAAAAAGTACCGAAACTCGATGGTTTTCACGTGTCGGGCCCTGGGAGACACTCGCCTGACACTGTTTCGACACTCTTTCGACACTGTTTCGACACTTTTCCGGGCGCTCGAAGTTATTTCTGGGATGTGGTCCTTGAGTAGGAATTGGAACAACATAACAAGAGGGGGGTGATAACATTTAGGGTTCCTTAGGTCAACGCCCCGACTGTAGGGGGGGGGAGATCATGGCGGGGGCCATGGGATCTCCCCAGATGTCATGGCGCCTCTTCTTATTTCCTTACGTCCCCGGCCCCCCGCGGGGCCGCGCACGTGCCGCCGGCCATGGCCTGCGCCTCCCCCCTCTCGGACGCCCCCCTCTTGGCCGCCCCCAAGTGAAGCGAGCACGACGTCATGCCTCGGAAGACGGCGAGTAGAGGTCAGAGCGAGAGTCAGGAGGAAAAGAAACACACAGACGCAATTAATCCTCGATTCCCCAGAAAATATGGGAAAATATGGGAAGTGGGGGGAAGACAGAAACCCAGAACATATGGGGAACACATGGGGAATATTTTTATTTGTGTGTATTTATTTGTGTGTCCTGGGGCCCCTTCAGAGAGGAGGAAACGGTACATATCTGGGGGTACGAAGAATGACATAAGCGTGAAAATTCGGAGGTCCGCGCGGATTTCTCGGATCCGCGCTGAACCCCCTTGGCGGCGCCAACGGCGCCGCCCCTGGCGCGCTCCGCGCGCCATGGAGGGGGCTCCAGCGCCGATCCGAGAAATCTGCGCGGACCTCCGAGTTGTTAAGTTTGTGTCATTCTTCGTTCCCCCATACTACCGAGACCGAAGCTCGTCCCAGAGAGCCCTCGTCGCTGCGGCTGGATTCTCCCTTTTAGATCGTTGTCAGAACGCACCCTGGGAGAGGTCCAGGGAGTACGGGTATTCGGGGACCCCCAAACGGTGTGGTGACCACTCCGTGTGGTGAATCGGTGGGGGTGCGGGGGCACCGGATCTGGGTCGTTCTCCGAGGACGTCTCTGGCGGCTGGGCCTCCGAGGTTCCAAAAACCTGCGGCGGCGGGCGCTGCGGTGAGGTTTCTTCGGATCTCGAAGTCGCTGCTGGGTCCGTCGCCGCACGGCGTGGGGACCCCCAAAGCCTCGGTACTCCAAGTCTCACATTAGCGGAGGCGGGTCGAACGAGTCTGGGACCCCCCCCCAGGGGCGGTGCAACAACGGGTCCAGCATCGAGACCCCCAGACAATCTCGTTTGACGAGGCCCGTTAGGCCCCCCACAAACGTAGATCCCCCCAGTGTCACGAGACCCAGAATGCCTTTTTGCTTCCAGGAGTGGAGACGTATAGTGGAAACCCACGCCAATAATCATCCTGCTTACCTCCAGGGTGCCCTGGATTTCTGGGGCTTCGATGGCTCTTGTCGTGGGAAGCGTGACGTTACCACACCAAGAGCCCACGAACGTCCTGGGGTGTCAGGGCTGGGTTTCTAGTGGAAGGTTTCTTGTGGTCGAGCTCCTACTGTAGGACTGTAGGTAGCTGTCCGCCTGGAGGGGGGTGGGGGGGGCGCCTCGTCACCCCCTGATTCTGGACGCGGCTCGGAAGAAGCTGGTGGGCTTGGGCCGCGCCCAGGGATAACAGGCGGGTTGGCAGCCCGATCGTCACCACAGCCCGACGGGGCTGCAGGAGAGATTCTTGCCCTGTGGCTCGCCAACCAAGGTGGGTGCGGGCCCGCCGTGCCACCCCTGAGAGGCCCCATGGGGTTACTCGAAGGGTTCCCCCAACGGGGGGGAGCGCGAGAACTAAAGTCCTCGGGCAGTGGGGTCTCCACTGCTGGAGGCCGGCGGCCAAGTGGGGGTGGTGCCGGTGGCCTTGTCTCGGGGTGGCAACCCGAGGCGCCTCGCAACGGCGGCGCAGGTGTGACGCCTGGGGCGTCTCTGTGCTGCGATTCACGTTGCGAGGTCCGACTGCATGCGAATTCATGCAGACACTTTGGGTACCCTCCTTTGGTCTGCGTCGTCCAGGTGCTCTGTCAGGGCAAAAAAAACATTTAGCGCCGGCTGGTGTCGATTTAGCGTCGTTCAGCGTCGATTCGCAAGAGCCGACAAGATTGTATGGGAGGCTCCCATGAGCTGCCACCGAAAGGCGGTGAGATGGGGGAGGCCTTCGCGGAAGGCTCGGAAGTCCCCGACCCTTCTGAAAAATTCCCACGGTGCCAACATCGCAGAGCGGGTTTCGTTCACTTCTTATTGTAGATTCTCCAGAGCCGCCAGATCTAGGAAATTCTCGATCTATCCCCCTGCCCCGGCGTTATCCTCGCCCTGGCTTGAAGTCGGGCGTGTCCTACTACATGAGGAATATTCCCAAAATAGTCAAAAGATGGTCCGGGGGTGATCTTTCGATTTGTTCTGGTCTGGTATTGGGCATGTATTGTTTTTTGACGTTTCTTCCCACACCCGCTTGCAGGAGGACGTGCCCGACCGAAGCCTGGCTTCGTCTGAACGTGGGCCCTGGGAGCAGCCCCGCCCCGCGAGGCCGCCGGCCCGCCCGCGGGAGGCAGCGGCCAGAGGCGGGGGCCGGGCCGGCGCCGATGCTCGAGAACTTCGGCAACAAGCTCATCTTTCCCGCGCCGGCGCCCGCCAGCACTCCGCGCTTTTCCCCCTCTGTCACTCGAAGGAGAAAAGCAGGAGGGGACAAAAACACACAGACACAATTCATCGTCGGTTCCCCCGCTTCAGGAAGAACGCCATAAGCAGAAGCTTCTGGCGCGCCGCGCGGATGTCTTGGATCCGCGCCCAGGCCCCCCAGCGGGGCCTCCGGCGCGACGTCCCTGCGCGCTTTCCGCGCGCTCCGCGCGAGGGTCGGGCGCGGCTCCAAGAAATCCGCGCGGACCTCCAACAATTTCAGTTTATGTGTAAGTCGGGTCTGTCCCCCTACAGGGGGATTGTCGACGAAAAATAAAAAAATGCCACAGAAATAGTCAAGAATTACCCTGGCAAAGCAACCTAACAGCGATGTGTATAAGCATATCTGGAAGCATTGCCCTTAAGATTCAGGTGAGAATCCAGTTGTAGAATTCTGCTGTTCTCGCAGTCGCAGTCGCATTCGCAATGACAGTCGCAGTGGCAACGGCCTTAGGACACAATGGAATCCTAAGGATTCCTAGGGATTCCTAAGGCATCCTTAGGCATCCTTAGGCATCCTTAGGAATCCATAGGAATCTTCAGGAAACCTTAGGAATCCTGATTCCTAGGGATTCCTGGGGATTCCTAAGGATTCCTCAGGAATCCTAAGGATTCCTAAGGATTCCTGAGGATGCGCAACTATGCCTACGGATTCCTAAGGATGCCTACGGATTCCTAAGGATTCCTAAGGATTCCTAGGGATTCCTAAGGATTCCTATGGATTCCTACGGATGCCTCAGCCTGCCCCAGTTGCAGCCTCAGCCTCAGCCTGCCTCGGCTTGCCTCAGCCTCAGCCTCAGCCTCAGCCTCAGCCTGCCTCGGCCTGAGCCTCAGCCTGCATCGGCCTCAGCCTCAGCCTGCCTCGGCCTCAGCCTGCGTCAGCCTCCGCCTCAGCCTCAGCCTGCCTCAGCCTCAGCCTGCCTCAGCCTCAGCCTTAGCCTCAGCCTCAGCCTGCCTCGGCGTGCCTCAGCCTCAGCCTCAGCCTGTCTCGGCCTCAGCCTGCCTCGGCCTCAGCCTGCCTCAGCCTCCCCTCCTCCCCCCCCTCCCCCCCCCCATTCAGCCTCACCTTGTCTCAGCTTCGGCCTGCCTCGGCCTCAGCCTCAGCCTCAGCCTCAGTCTCAGCCTCAGCCTGTCTCGGCCTGAGCCTGCCTCGGCCTCAGCCTCAGCCTGCCTCAGCCTCAGCCTGCCTCAGCCTCAGCCTCAGCCTGTCCCAGCCTCAGCCTGCCTCAGCCTTAGCCTCAGCCTCAGCCTCAGCCCCAGCCTGCCTCGGCTTGCCTCGGCGTCAGCCTCAGCCTCAGCCTCGGCCTCAGCCTCAGCCTGCCTCAGCCTCAGCCTCAGCCTGCCTCAGCCTCAGCCTGCATCAGCCTCAGCCCCAGCCTGCCTCATCCGCAGCTCTCCTCAGCCTCAGCCACAGCCTCAGCCTCAGCCTCAGCCTGCCTCAGCTGCAGCCTTAGCCTCAGCCTGCCTCGGCTTGCCTCAGCCTCAGCCTCAGCCTGCCTCGGCCTCAGCCTCAGCCTCAGCCTGCCTCAGCCTCAGCGTCAGCCTCTCAGTCTCAGCCTGCATCAGCCTCAGCCTCAGCCTCAGCCTCAGCCTGCCTCAGCCTCAGTCTCAGCCTGCCTCAGCCTAAGCCTGCCTCAGCCTCAGCCTCAGCCTGCCTCGGCCTCAGCCTGCGTCAGCCTCAGCCTCAGCTTGCCTCAGCCTCAGCCTGCCTCAGCCTCAGCCTCAGCCTGCCTCGGCGTGCCTCAGCCTCAACCTCAGCCTGCCTCGGCCTCAGCCTGCCTCGGCCTCAGCCTGCCTCAGCTCGGGCATTCAAAATATGGCACAGGACTGGTGTTCTGGGAACACGAAGACCACGAAGTGGCCCACAGTTGGCTTTGGGCAAACAAAATATGGTACAGGAATGGTGTTCGGTGTTTTGGGAACACGAAAAAATCGATGTGGCCTACAGTTGGCTCCGGGCATTCAGAATGTGGTTTGGGAATGGTGTTTTGGGAAAACGAAGAACACGAAGCGGCCTACAGTTAGCTCCGGGCATTCAAAATGTGGCCTGGGAGTGGTGGTTTGGGAGCACGAAGATAACGAAGTGGCCTACGGTCGGCTCCGGGCATTCAAAATGTGGCCTGGGAATGGTGTTCTGTTGGCTCCGGGCAGTCAAAATGTAGCTCCTGGCAGTCAAAATGGGGAGTCCCCGGTTTTCCCCGGCACCCGTCCGGCATCTGCCCAGACCCCCCTGGGGAGTCATGATGCTCTCTTTCCGACCTTACTAGAAACCTATCAGTCTTCGCTGTTAGGTAAATACTCAAAAAATCAGGGGATTCGCTTTTATGTCTTCGCTGTCAGGGGATTACTGTCATGGGATTGCTTTTTTTATATTTCTTGAATATGTTAGGGTATTGTTGGTGTATTGTTTAACTATTCTTCGTCGAAAATCCCCCTGTAGGGGGACAGGCCCGACTTAAGTTTATGTGGTTTTTTGTTCCTCGAATCATGTCACTCCAACCCATGCTTGTGCTCGCCGCCTCTGATTTCCGTCCCGTCCGCTCTGGTCGTGCCCCACAGGATTCGAGAGTCGAGATCCGCTCACGGCTCCAGTGGGCGCGGACGCGCGTCGCCGCACGTCAACTCCGCCACCCCTCGCACGTGTCCGGTCTCCGCGTGGAGCTCCTCCTACGACCCCGGTGGGCGCGCGTAATTACGTCTGCCGCCCCCCACACGGGATTCGGAGGAGCCCTCTCTTCTTGCCTTCCCTCTCTCCTCTGCCTTCCGCCCTTCCCCTCCCTCCCCCACTTCTCCCCCCTCCACCCCCACCGCTTCCCCACAGCTCCCCTCCCTCTCCTCCCCTCCTCTGCCCGGCCCTTCCCCCTCCCCGCCTGCCTTCCCCAGTGAACCTTCGTCTCTGCTGTTTCGCCTTCGTGCTGCCTCGCCTTCTTCCCCAGCCAGCGAGGTGCCGTCGTATTCCGCCACGTCCTACAAGCGCCACCTCTGCTGGATACCCTGGAGCAGGGTGATCTCGCCCAGCAGGGCGGCGGAGCGAGAGGACGGCATCCCATGCCTGTGGTTCCCAGCCCCGAAGGTGGCCTTGAGAAGGGGGGGGAGCGAGGGGATCCGTCCACTGACCGAGTAGTGGGCAGAAGCTTCCGCCTCACCATCACTGAATTCAGCGTTTTTTCCCTTGCCCAATTTGCGCGGCGCGTTCCGTCTGGAGGCAGACGCTCCGCAGCCTGAAGGCGCTCGAAGGATGGCGCCGCACCGCTGAAGCCTCGGCGATGCGGCTCGATGTGGAGCCGGATCTCGTCCACGCCGCGAGCGCCGACGCATCGCCGAATGCAGCGGCGATGCACGGGTTAGGAGGGGAAAGCTCACACATATCCCCCAGAGAATATGGGCCATAATATGGGAAGATATGGGAAGTGGGGGCGAAGACAAAATCCAAGAAAATATGTGAAACTCTAAGAATCCTTTTATTTGTGTGTATTTAGTTGTGTGTCCCAAGGGCCGCAACTACTCCGACCCCATCTGGGCGACCCCGAGAAGCGGTGGCCATGACCAAGACGAGACACGTAAACGTCGGCGTCCATCTTGGAGGAGGAAGGAGGGAGGAGGGGGGAGGAGGAGGGGGGAGGAGGGAGGAGAGGGAGGAGGGAGGAGGAGGAGGAGGAGGTGGTGGAGGAGGAGGAGGTGGTGGTGGAGGTGGAGGTGGAGGTGGTGGAGGCGGAGGTGGAGGTGGAGGTGGAGTGGAGGTGGAGGTGGAGGTGGAGTGGAGTGTGTGGTGGGAAAGGAGGAGGAGGTGGTGGAGGGGGAGGGGGAGGAGGAGGAGAGGAGGAGGAGGAGGAGAGGAGGAGGAGGAGGAGGAGGAGGAGGAGGAGGAGGAGGAGAGAGGAGGGAGGAGAGGAGGAGGAGGGGAGGAGAGAGGAGGAGGAGGGAGGAGGGAGGAGGCCCCTCCAATGGGGGATGCGGCGCGGTCCTCCGACCCCGCCTGCGCGGGCCCCGCTTTTGTGTGAGGCCTGGGTCGGCGGCCGCCGTCTGCCCGCCCGTGGGCCGGGGCCGCGGCGCCCCCCGCGCCTGGCGCGGGCCCCCGTGGGTGTACACAGTGCTGCCTGCGGCCCCCGGTGGGGGCGTCCGCAGGTAGGCTTAAGTCGGGCCTGTGTGTGTATGTCTAGTTGTGTGTCCCCCGCGCCAGCGTTGTGTGTATCTAGTTGTGTGTCTCTAGTTGTGCATCTAGTTGTGTAGCCTTAAGTCGGGCCAGGGCCGCCGCGCCCCCCGCGCCTGGCGCGCGCCCCCGTGGGTGCACACGGCTGGAAAGCTGGGCGAGGGTTGCTAAAACCGTGGCTATCTAGCTCGCACACTAGTTCCGTCTGGATCCCGACCTGGTCCATCCCATTCACCAAGGCACGAGCCCTGGGGTCATTCAAAGCCTGGTCCACCTTCTTCAGGACGAGCTCCGTCTTCTCCTCATTCTTGGTGAAACTGGCGATTAAGCTCCTCATCGCTTCACCATTCTGCCCAACCATCGTGCTCACAGCAAGCATGAGGTCCACGTTTGCTAAAACGGCCCTCCAGGAAGGACAAAACAATTTTCCGGAATGAGACGCGGCACGCGAAACAGTCAACGAGTTGCTTCCCGCAAGGACGAAGGCAATTTCCCGGAGGTCGATTTTAGCAGCCACGGATTTAGCAGCCCTTGCCCGGCTTCCGAACAGTGTTGCCTGCGGCCCCACGTGGGGGGCGCCCGCAGGTAGGCTTAAGTCGGGCCTGTCCCTCTACAGGGGGAAGATTCAGCAACAGTCGAAAGATGGTATGGGGACAATTTGTTTGAGTATTTGGGGCATCTTTTCGGCATTTTTGCGTATCTTTATGATTCGTCCAAGATCCCCTTGTAGGGGGACCGGCCCGACCTAAAGGCAGGCACGCGCCCAGTCCGGCGCACCCCTGACGCTGGTCGCGCCCCCACGGGGAGCTCCACCTTCACCGGGCGCGTGCCACTGCTCGCAGAGTGCCTGCTCGCAAACGTCCGCAGAGCACACGTCTGTTTTGATGTAGTTTATCGTGGATCCTCCGTGGGAGATCCAGGCCCTTTGCGAGTAGTCACTCTGCGAGTACTGGAACGCGCTCGTCCACACCTGCGGCCCAAGCTTCCAACACTACGCTTAAGCCGGGCGTGTCCCCCTACAGGGGGATCTTTGACGAAAAATGAAAAATACTCCAAAAATATCCCAAAATGGTCAGAACAATTTTTTAAAAAATAGCCCCCAGACCATTTTTTTACTATTTTGAACATTCCCCCTGTAGAAGGCCAGGCCCGACTTGATACTACGCTCTCAGAAGGAGGGAGCGAGGGTCGAAGGAGCAAAGCAGGGAAGGAGGCCGATGACAAAGAGAGGGCGTCCCAGAATGAAGGACGAAAGCAGAGTCGAGACAACATTCGGACCGATACCAATTCGGACAAAATTCGAGACAAAATTCAAAGTCCAGACATAATCGAGACAAACTTCGAGACAACATTCGAGACACAAATCATAACCTGCGGGTTTGGAGGACGCATCGGGCGCCGCGGCCGTTTCCGAGCGTTCCGGAACGCTCCGAGACCGTTCCAGAGCGCTTTGCAACGGGCTTGCCTCGATTCTAAGCCCGTCCGATCATACATTCCCGCTTGGCTACTCGGCCAACCGATCGCAAACAACGGGGCAGTTCCCCCCCCCCCTTCCCAGGCCTCACAACGTCGACGCCTTCTTGTTCAGCTTTGACGTCTGTCGTTGACGTTGCAAAGGGCGCGACAGGAATGCGCCGCGGCGCAGATCGGACAAGATTGCTCTCGCCGCAGGGCCGCGCATATTGTGTCCTGAAAGTGGCGTTCCCGCTTAGCGGCGTCGCACATTTGTCGCTCGCCACTTCGTCGGACGCGCGACCGCGCGCGAACCGGCGAATCGCCGCTGCCGTCAGAGCACCGCGCATATTGTGGCAGAAAGTGGCGCTTCCGCTACCCAGATGCGGCGCAAATTCATCGCACGCCAATTCGTCATCAGCAGCGAAGTCGAGTGCAAGCGGGCGAAGTGTCGTTCTCGCCGAGTACGACGCGCAGATTTCGCTTGAAAGTGGCGCTCCCGCTTGGCGTGGCACATATTTGCCGCTCGCGAGTTCTCGCGAGAGGGCCCCGAAACAGGACTGCAAGAGGACCCCAAGAAGACCCAAGATAGCCGCAAGAGTTCCCCAAGAGGCTCTCACAACAAATGGGTAACGAAGGCCTGCCCCTCGTCATCCTTCTCCTCCTGTCCGCTTCCACCCCCTCATCGCTCCTCCTCCTCCCCCTCCTCATCCTCCTCGTCCTCCTCCTCCTCCTGCTCCTCCTCGTCCCCCTGATCCCCTTCCTCCTCCTGCTCCTCCTCGTGATCCCCATCGTCTCGTCATCCCTCTTCCCTTCCTCACCGTCCTCACCCAGACAGCTCTCCTGGACGCCGTTTCCAGATGGGCTGGCCAGGACAAACGCGGCGTCAAGCACCAGTGGGCTGGCCGCGGCGCGTGCGCGTGCCGAATTGGGCGCGGGCCCGCATGCGGACGCCCCCCGCTGGGGTTTTCGCTCGGAGGGGGAGCAGGCATCCAATACCGCCAGCCTTCCCTCGCTTTCGCCTCTCTGGGCCTCCCTGCAGGCCCTCGTCGCCACCGCTGGATTTGCCTCTGAGTTCTGGTCACAACGCACCCCCTTTGAACGGTTTAGGGTTAGGTCGGGCATGTCCCCCTATAGGCGGATTTTGGACGAACAATAAAGAATAGTCGAACCATTTTCCCAGATGGTCAGATATAGTCCAAACATCGTCCCCACACTTTGTTTACCATTTTGGAATGTTCCTCCTGTAGAGGGACAGGCCCGATTTTAAATCTAGGGAGGAGCGCGCTAGCGGTATCGCTCGGTTTCCCCGGTATGGGAAGCTTGTTGTGGGCGTCTTTGTTGGGTGCTTTGAGGGCGTCCGTTGACCCTCTCGGGGGCTTCTCTTGTGGGGTCCATCCTGGTGCCGTTTCAGAGCGTTGGGCAACGCTCTGAAACGGCCGTGGCGCCCGATACATCCTCCAAACCCGCCGATTCAGAGAGGCTTCTGACTTATATCGGTCCGATGTTGCCTCGATTCTGCCTTTTGTCTTAGAGCGTATACTGAAGAACTCGTTCGACTGCAGCAGATCCCGCCGCCGTGCCAGCACAGCAGCGCAGCAGTTCAGCGGTCGAACTTCTGGCCTGCGTCAGTTCAGTGCCCCGTTTGAATGTGCGCGGGCTTATCAGGAGGGAAAAACACAGACAGGAACAGACGTCGAAGACCAGGAAGTTATAGGAATATATCGGAAATGGCGGGAAGACGAACATCCATAACATATTTGCAATATGGAGAATCTTGGGATGTGTGTCTATCTGCTTGTGCGTCCCTGGGCCCCTTCAGTCTTGAACGCGCCCTCTTTGTCATCAGCCTCTTTCCCTTCTTTGCTCCGTCGTCCTCGCTCCCTCCTCTGAAAGCGTATTTTGGAAGCTTGCTGTGGGGGTTCTTTCAGAGGGGGAGCAGGAATCCATACAGTCGGGCCGCTGAATAAGGAACACTTACTTTTCGAAAGGGGCTCGGGCGTTCCTTAGGTTTGCATGCGTTCCGCTTTTTGGGGCGGCGAGCCCCCCCAGTGCCCCTTCGGACTTCGTGGACTTCTTTGGACAATTCCGCGGCCATTTTGGCTCCAGCACAGCGCTGCACAGGTTCCGAGGGGCCGTCGCTGGCTTCTCAGGGCTCCCCTCGGCCGTCTCTCGTTCTGGACCTTTCAGCCTTTCAGCTCTGCGCATCTGCAGAGGCCATGATGCGCCTACGCACGTCTCACAGCGTCGGCGCGCTACTCCTGCTGCCGGTAGCGCGCAGCGCCCCGGGTCGCCGGCGAGCGGGACGCTGGCTGGGGGGCTCGGCGAGCGGTCGCCCCCGCGAGCCGCAGGCCGAGCTCGGGAGGAGCCAGGCCACCAGCGACGCGCAGCTGCTCAAGCTCTTGCCGAGTGATGGGGCCGCCTACGACTGGTTCGGTTACTCGGTGGCCGTGAGCTCCGACGGGGCCCGC